TTTTTTTTTTTTGTTTCCTGCAAGCTTAAGTTTGTTTTTGGATGTTTGAATTGTGTTTCTTGTATGTAATTGTTGAGCAATTCAATGGCAATTTGTGCTGTTGGTTGAATGAAATACTTTATTTAGACAGACTAGTAGCAAAGCAGTTCGTACCTGTCTATAATTCGGAACCATGAGGTTCTTGATGGCCTAGCATTCTTCCTCTGTTTCATGGCATTTCCAAGCTTCTCGGTCACCACCCATTCATTGACACGACTTGCTTCCAAGAGTCCAATAATTGCTGCTTTAGTTCGATGGAGCGACATGACATTCTCAAAGAGTATCCAGAGTACTAGTAGATGCATGGATCTTTCTCATGTATAAGTGGATGTAGAATAATTAGGGTAGTTTTGCGAAACTAACTTGATTAAGCATAAATAGATACATTCAGACGGAAACTGGATAACTTTTTTACTGTTGTTGCAGTGAGGACCAAGTACCTTTGGGTGGAGACTGCATTTAGAATTGTAATGGTTGCTGGGATGTAGATGGCAATCTGCTTTTTGAGAGTGACTTCAGGAACTATCACACAAGCTGGTATAACTATGCAGTAGAAGAAGAACGTCACCCAATGTGCAACTATTTTCCTCACAAAGAAGAAAGCATAGACAAGATGAAGTCTCTTGAGAAGCGGTACCTTCTGGATTATACATACAGGTTCAATCAATATAAGATTTTGTAAATCTTGGTTAGCTGTTTAAGGGAAAATTATGAGATTACTTACATGGCAGTAGAGGATTTCCATGGTCATTTTCTTGAAGAGATTAGCTGGCCCACATGACCACCTGTGCTGCTGATATCGGTATGCTTTAAATGTGCTTGGCAGTTCATTTTTTACCTGACAAGCATCGAAATTTCCCCACATGGTATGGTATAGTTTATGGGTTACTCAAGCTTACAAGAAGATATTATATCAAAGGAATTAGTTAAGTATGGATAACTCACTTTTACGTCACCCACGAAAATAAAGTCCCAACCCTTCAGGCTTGCCCGAACTGCAAGGTCCATATCCTCCACTGTGGTTCGGTGATTCCATCCTCCAGCATCTCTTATTGCTTGAATCCGCCAAACTCCTGCTGTCCCTGTATGTAATAGAGGAAATTTGAGCAAGCCCGTATGTATTAGAGGAAATTTGAGTAAGCTTGCTGCAAAGGTGCTTGTCTGAATTTAATTCAATGAACATTTTAACTGACCATTGAAACCAAAGAATGAGTATGTTGAAGAGCCCACTTCCTGTTCCACACTGAAGTGATAATCGAGTGACATCTCTTGAAGCCGTGTCATCATACATTCCTCGGAATTCACTGTATTGACATGAAAACAATTTTAAAGAACTTTGATTTGCTGGACTCATTAATAAGGTGTGATGTCACATTGATGTGGTTGGAACAATTTAACAAGGTGTTATTGGCAGTTACTTACCAAATTTCCATCTTGCTTGAACCAAACCAAATTTTGGGTTCTCAAGCAGGTAAGGAATTGTATTCCAAAGAAAATCTGCATCTGGCTGAAAATCTGCATCAAATATTGCTACAAATTCGCAATCCTTGACATATTCCTTCTCCAAACCCTCCTTTAGGGCACCTGCCTTGTAACCATTGCGATTTGTCCTTGTTTCATATTTGACATTCACACCTTTCTGTATCCATCTTTGACACTCTGTTCCGACCAATTCCTGCATGTTTGAAAACACAATACTGTAAATTTGTACACAAAACGTGCATATGGAATCTGCATTGAAGCTTTACTGGATTAATTGCATACCCTTAAGACTGGATTTGTTGAGTCATCAAGAACCTGAACTATGAACCTGTCTGCTGGCCATGACAGCCCACATACTGCTCCAATTGAAAGCTTGTAGACCTGGAAGCAGAAATTGAAATCTTTTAGATGAGGTAATTCATTTTTGTTCTTATATAGTTATGACCATTATATTGCAATTCCTAGTTTGTCAAACACAATGAATATGTGTGTTCCTTTACTTTGTCAGTTTGCTGTGATTTATCATGAGTATGATTGTTCATAATTTAGAATATATTCAAATTAAGACAATCTGAAAGGACAACTTCAGTGATGGATGTTTAAAAGATGCTAGATTTTTTGGTTAAAGTGAATAGTGCAAAACTAACCCTCTGAAAGGAAGAATGAGTAAGAAAAAAGTAGCAATGAGGGAATTAATTATTAAAGACATGTGATAAGACGTTTGAGAACACAGAATCTAGTTGATTTTTTTTCCCATTTTAAGCTGGTCTTAATTATTTACTACTTACAAATGATTAAAGATTATGATTGGATTTGTTGTCATTCAGAATTGTAAAACACTAGCACCTGATTGGGCTACTGAAGTAGCATTTTGGGATAAAATATCATAATTTAAATGGTAACTAAATAGATATCACATAACACTAATTTCAGTTGGTGCAAAACTTCTTAATTAAAAAGCAAGTTACCTCTTTCTCATTATACATAGGTATTTGGATCAACACCATGGGGAATCTTTTGTTTCTCTGCAGCTTCTGTTTCATGGCTTCCAAGTTATACCTGGTGTATCTTTTCTTCCCCAGCAATTTGACAAATAAGATTACAATTGCCATTGCTACCCTTTCAACAAATAGCATGATTGACATAATTGAGCATATTATGACAGCTAGTTTTAGGAGTGGTATTACCACTGGGGCTCGTATTGATTCCCAGGCATAGCGCAGACTGCTTGAAGCATGTCCTGGAACCCTGACTTCAGGCTCTTCAAATATTAGGTTTCTCATGGTTTCTAGGGCTGTAGTTAAGGAATATTGAGCCTGAAGAGAATCTCGCTTGGCGAATAAGGAAATTGGAGGAGGGATCAGTTACTTGATGCAGGAGGGATCAAGTGGGTGTGATGTGTGTTGGAGATGAAACCTTTACTTTAAATAGGAAGGAAATGCAAGGTAGGAAGATGAGGACATGCATTTGGGTTTAGGTGGAAGAACATAGTGTGTATAGTGAGATATTTAGAGAAGAGATATTCTTTTTAATAGACACACGTTATTCATGCAAGCAATGGTGCTGCAACGTAGCCACTTGATAGCTGGATATGTCTTTTCTTGCCGACAATTTGATCAAGAATTTTACTGTCAATGATTTTGACCAGAGTAATAACTCTGCTCATGTTTGATCAAATTTATGAAATTGTGTTATATTGCAACTTTGCAAGTGAATATCTGATAAAAGCCTATGGAACAAAACTGCTATTTTTGGTACTTCTCCAAGGGTTAAATACAGTATTTATGCTGAGTTAATTTTCAATCCTCTGTAAATCTTCTAAATAGGCTGTTTCCGTTATTTTATGAGCAGGAGCATATCAGTCATATAAAACTTCATTTATTTGCTTCTGTGATTAATTTGTTTGAGAAAGGTTGGTGAAAGATTTGAAGTATTCATAGTTCACTACAAAATGCTTTGGATTCTTCATAATTATTATCTAACAAATTAATCATAAAAGCAAATCAACAAATTCTCAAGTAATTATGGTCTTGCTCTAAATGATTTTACTGCAATTTTGCGTTTTGATGGAGCCAATGGTGGATAAATGAAAAATCCATGTAAGCCAACCCCGTGTAATAGCTTAGTGGTTGATTTATAGTTCCATTTTTACACTATGAGAAGCTATAGGTTTCTTGCAATTGCTGAGTTTATAAAATAGTCTGCTGCTAAAAAAATTTAATATTGTTAATAGAAAATTATTTCTTTATTGAAAATATGTGTAGCTCTCTACCACTGTAAATAACATGTTTGCTTGTTGCCATAAAATTGTAGCATCTTTATTTCTACTAGAACCATTTGATGCATTTTCTAGGCACTATTTATTTATTTTTTAGTTAGGAAGGTATCTTGCTTTCTCTCCATACGGACTTTCTTACTGTAATTTCCAAACCATATTCTTTTATATAAAGTATCACTTTGGCAAACAATAGGTAATTAAAGGAAATGAGAGTAATGTAAAAGGAATGACGGAGACGGTGTGACGGTGCCTTGTTAAAAAAGATTAATGCAGCTGAAAAGTGGGACAGATAAAAAGAAGAGGTGACAGTGTACATATTTGTTTTGATATCAAAAGTTTAGGAATATAATGGTAAAGTAGAATGTATGTAATCTCCTTTTGAAACATTTGGCAGACAAAAAGAAAAAAAAAATCGTATTTTCTGCAATAAATTCCTTATTAGATGAGATGGATGTCCTTCTTTCCTTTTATTTCCTCTATTAAAATTTAGTTTCTGTAGAGCTCCCTTTTCATTTTAGAGATGGACGTCCTTTTGTTACTTAGGTATGGGATATTTTTATAAAGGACTGTTAATTGATTGACTCTGGAAGACTGGAATTTAATGAGGCCAATTTTGAAGTTGAAGCTATTCCATATAAGTACCCAAAAGGATGCACTTTCCTTTCTTTATATTTGTTAAATTGAAATTACTTTTACGTTAATCCCAATTATAGTTGGATTATGCTCTCTGAAGTGATATGAAGTGGATTAAGCTGAGAAGTGACTACTTGGGAAAATCAGCTGTATAAAATGTTATTTTTTGATTCAGATAGCATGTATTTCTTCTGTAACATGCAATCATTTGGATTTATCAGAATTTTGCATACACTCAAGTTCAATGTGGGCAATATTTTCTAGTATTTCAGCTATACTGGCGGCTTCCTTATCAATGGATTGTTCGTTACAAGTTATCAGGGGGAAGGGGAAGTTTTCATTTCCATAGGTACTGCTTTCATTGTGCTAAACTATTTTCTCTTCTGCTATTAGAGGTTGAAATAAAATATGAATTGCCCAAATGATGCTGTGTCGATCACGGCCGTAAGAGGCTTCTGAAGTGTTTTGCTATGCAAGATGCATTACACAAGGTAGTTTCCGTTTATGATGAACTATGTCAAGTCTTGTATGTGTTATGAATGAAATGGTGGCTGCAGAACAATAAATATAGGAAGTATGTTCGTGTGTCTTTTTTGAGAAATTATACTGTCAGGACTCTGGCAAAGCCTTGAGTCTTGACTTAGGCTCTCATCATATTAACTTGATTAGCATGTGAGTTACTGTTGTAAGGTGTAATTGATGAAAGAAATTCCTTTTTCCTGTGTATCAGATCAGTCTTGATAGGTTTGTTTTGGCCAGTACAAAACTATGAGCTTCAGACAACTTTTATTATGTCGGTTATCTTGATTTTGTTGTGGCATTCAACTCTTTTACATGTTTACTATGTCACATTCAGCCACGTATAGGTTTGTATCAGTTTTCTGTGAGTTGTCATAGGTTTGCATGTATCTGCAATATAGTATACCTGTTTACTGTACCACAATTCAGCCACGTATCAGTTTTTTGAGTAGTTATGCCTAGACAAAAGTATCAGCTTCAGACAATTTTATTATGTCTATCTTGATTTTATTGCACTATTCAACTCTTTTACGTGTTTACTATACCAAATTTCAGCCATGTATAGGTTTTTATCACATTGTTTGTTGTCATAGGTTTGCACGTATCTGCAATATAGTATATCTGTTTACTGTACCACAATTCAGCCACGTATCAGTTTTCTGAGTTGTCATAGCTTCATAGTTTTGGTTTTATCTGCTGCAATATAGATATACTATTTAATTCATATATCTTCTCTGATGATATTAATGGATAGGGTACTTGACTGTTCTTGCCTATACTAAGAATCCTGAATACATACCTGTGTAGGTAGCAATTTGTGTCTAAGCTCATACTCAGTGGGAACCTATATATCCATACCTGAATCTATTAAACATTTATTTAGTTAAAAGTGTCTTGGTTTTTGACAACCTAGTAAAATAAAATTATTATTTTAGAACTAAATTAACTATAAAAATTTATAAAATAAAAAACATTAATTGAAAGTGTAATGTATCTAACATAATTAAAAGATATTCAATGATCTTTTCAAATCTTAGTTGGAATACACTGACGTGCATGTTTAGACAAGTTGGACATCATAGTATCCATGCAATCCTGTGAAGGGTAATTACATGGGACTGAACCTAAACCCATTTGATGGGTAACAAAACTTATTTATTGTGGGTACTCGTTGGATCCAAGTCTAAATGCCATTTCTTATCTTTCCCAGTTTTACCCGAGTGGGAGAAGTAACTGCCTTAAATTAGTTGGCCTAGTTTTCTTAGTAAGTGTGTTAGCAATGCAGATTTTGCTGCAAAGTGACTCTTGTTGGATGGTAAACTAATAAAAATGGGAGAATACATTTCCTTAGTTTCTGCCTTCATTCTGTTCCACGTATTTTATTTCAGCCATTAGTGATTGCAATGTTAAAAAGCCAATGAGTTACCCTGTTAATATTTCATTTCATGGATAATAGGAGTAATTAGGTCACTGAAAATGTTGAGTTTGTAGGATAGGTTAAAGATCCATATTTGGTATTTGTGGAATGATACCTATTGAGCAATAAATATAGGAAGTTTGTTGTTTCACGTATATGGGTCAATTGTCACAGGACTATGGAACAACCTTGGCATGTGCCCTTGACAAATTAACTGGGTTAGCGTGGGAATTACTTTTGTGATTATTTAAAGAAACTTCTTTGCACTTTGTATATCCGACTCTTGATAATTGTTATACACCTTGTACATAATTGATGGATTCAGATAATTATTTTTATGCGTATATTCATTTAACCTTACATGTCCACATTTTGTTTGCACTATCCAATTCGCTCCACTATTTTAATGTCTGTGTTCCACAATTCTGCCTAAATTTAGATTTTATTTCAGGAATTTAATTAAAATGCAATGGCAGCAAAGGTTTTGATCATCAATTGTCGTGTATGGTAGGATTGTTGACTTTCCTAATAATTACTCTTAACAGTCATATCATATCGAGGATTATTTTTAATTGATTGACTGTGTGAATCTTTACACTGCCAGTACATCAAAATTAAACTCTTTATTTTAAGGCAGATGAATCCTCAATATTGCTATGCATATTTACCTTTCCATGTTTTCCCAAGCATGGACCAAGATATTTCTGGATTTGTTTTTCCGCTGCTCATTAACTGTTTTATGTCTTGTAGGGAGCATCAGATTGCAGTTTTTATTATATAGTGATGTTTATTAGAGGGCTAACTAGTGAAACTATTTATTTTTGGGGATAAGGAAACAGTTTTCCATACTTTGGAAGGGGGCGATAGTTCTGATTTTGCATGTCATTGAATCTGTCTCTGACTAGTAATATTCTTTTCCCAAGAGTTAGCAATTTAGTTTATGCTGGAAGGCTGGATGCACTTGGTCATATGCATCAAGCAAATAGGTCACATTTCTGGGAAAGAGAAGTGCGGTTGTCCTCCTTTGTTCTGCATTTCATAATTTTTTTGTGCTTGTTTCATTTGTTGTCCCTCGTGCTATAATGCTATATAGATAAGCTTGTTTATTGGTTTATCTTGAATTGCAAAGTCCTGTGTGTATTAAATGTGTGACAGATCTTATTTTTCTTGCAAATTGGATGGCAAATCATGTGAAGAATCTTTTATAGTTCTGCCGTGTTCTCTAACCCCTCCTAGGGGTTTGTGGTGTGTCATATTTTCTTGTTTAAAACTGGTATTTCCATGTTTTTCGCTTTCCAGTGGTGATTTACATGCATGGTGGAGAATTTGTCATGTATAATGAGTGGGTTATTTCATAAAGTACAAGTCTGTTTGGTTTGCTGGTGTCAGCAATATGTTGTATTTATTTGTTTGTCATAACTTTGTTTCTATTTTGGATGCATGATTCAGTTGAGCTGGTGTGCTTTGTTTTTGGGTCTTTATGTTGGTCGCATGTAATTGCTGTCACTGTAAGGAGAGTGTTTATTGTTTAAGGACTTCTGTTAAATTTTTCATTTTGGGCTCGGTAGATCTGTTGGACATGTAAAAGGAACTGACCCCTTTTTATTTTGGATGTCTCTGCTGTGCTTGTTTATATCCTTGCCTTTTCATTTCCCGTTCAGTGTACTATATAAACAATGAGTTATCGTTAAATATGATGGTGTAGAAATATTACGAGATAGAAATGTGTACACAATGAGTTATCATCGATGTTGAGTAAACAAAAAAATTAGGTATGATTGAAAAAAAAAACCTACTTTTGGAACAGGAATTGAACAATAATATAATTATATTTAATTTGTAGTTTATTATGATTATAGTTTTAACTTATTAAGTAATAATAGGTGATATATCATCCCTTACTCTTTATAAAGAGGAATATATTCCAAAGGGAATTTTTCCCCCTTCCAAATTAACCTCTCTAAAGTGATGAGATGTACAAAATGAGAGTACAACTGTATCTACAGTTGAATTAAAATTAGTCGAGTTTATGATTTATTTTAATTTAAATTAATGGGGTAACATCTCCTAGTTATTTTATTTTAATATCTATGGTTAAAAATATATTTTGATCTTTAAATTTGAGGCTAATTTTTAATTTAATTTTTATATAAAATGTTTTTAATTGTCTCTGCTTATAAATTTCTTTTTATTTTATCCTTACTGATTATTAATGTTATACAATTTGTCAGGGTTAATACACTCAAACTAAAAGGACAAAAAATATATTTTTTATTCTTATATGCTCCCTATACTTGATGGTGATGTCATGTTAATCTTAAAATTATAAAGAGGAGACTTTAAAAGTGATTGTTAGAGCTAAGGATTAAACGTATATTTTAAAAGACTGATCATGGATTTAAGCATGGTTACTTAGAAAAATGATGTAGCTGATTTGCAGAATTACTTATGGCAAGCTTCTTGGATGAGAATCAAACTTGAGATTTGATAATTGATTTAGGTAACAACAGTAAACAATAAGTGGTTCTCTTTCTCTTCCTTGTTAAACTATTCATTGTCAGATAATACTAAATTTTACTCGTGAATGTTTACGAATGTTTTTTGATCATATCTACGTGAGGTATAGGAAGGAAAAGTTGAAAATAAATGTACATTTTTAGAATTTGAAAGTAACATTAATAACTGCGAATGAAAAGCCCAAAAGGAGTAATTGGAGAATTTAGGCTATTTGGCATACATTCAAGGATCTATAAGACGCGGAGGTATTGGAATTTGGAAAGACAACGAAAAAAATTACTTTAATTTTCATGGATTGTTGGTGTCAAGTTTTCTTCTTGTTAATTAAAAATAATCCCAAGTATAAATTTTAAAATAGTCATGGAAATCTATGACTGAATCACAACTTAAAATATCTTTACATTGCATTTGTAGTCTAATTAAACTCAAAATAGTTTTAAAATGTAAAAAAAAATAAAAAAAAAAGAGAAACAAAATATCCGATTTAGGAAAAAACCAAATGCACTATAAAAATTGTTTAATTCCACTTTTCGATTTGTCTAGAGTGTAAAGCAAGTGATGGGTCCATCTCACCCCAGGTCCAGTTTGACATACTCAGCTGAACTCGGTGCTGAATAAGCTATAACGGACAAAAGCTAATCCCTTTTTCAGATTTATTTTCCCTTGTTTTCTTGGGGGGTGTTTGAGAAGCTGATGAACATCAACAGTTTGCTTTAGTTGAATCATGTTCACAAGCAACCAAATTTTGGTTATGATGATGAGCAGGAAACAAAGGCTTTTGGCCTCAACCATAGCCTCCTTAGCGGTTGCATTTGTTTTGACTCAAATATTTGGCCCCTATCATACTTTATAAGATGGCCAAGCAAAATTTATGCCACAAAGTAAGAAAAACAAAACAGGATTCACACTCATCCACCGCTACTATTCAAATTTATA